AGTTTGATTTTATTCGTCTTATTCCTATCAATTCTAGTCTCTTTTGATCAATATAATACCCGTATTGTGAGAGGCGGGTATGCTCCTGAATCCTCATTTGATCATTTCGCCCTGGCCATGTCCATTCTCTACACAATTTTTCTAATTTTTTAACAATAGTGATTCAAACTACTTATAATTTGTGCGATTGTCCAAAATTGAGAGATTAAAATTGTAATTATGTTTATTTTACAAAAATAATATTTTCACTCTTCTCAAAGTTTTTTGTAAGAAATTTTTTTCGTCAATAAAACTATCACAACTTTAAGTTCTAGACTTAAAACGATAAAACAAACTAAGAACTTTTCCAGAGAAGAACAAGTATCAGTTTGATGGCCACTTGCATCATCTCCACATATTTTTGTAGGGACCAAACCCATACATTATTTGATGAAAGATTGTCTCCATCTATGAAACACTGATAATGAAGGATTATCTTTTATCCATGTGAAATGTTACTTTGTGAAAGGTTGTTCTCTTCTCTAAAAGTGGTTTGGCCATATTGCAGTCAAAAAGTGGCAAAACCAAAATGTTTAGTCATTGTTATAATTAATCTGAAAACTACTTAGATGTTGATGAACGCTTCTAGGACAATGGTTGGTTTCTCTTTGTATCTAATAAATTGTTCTTGCCACGCTATTGGAATATTTTAGCACTCCCAGTGCATGCAATCGATCGAAAAGATCATACCCGGGAAGTCACGTCGATCGCTGTGATGAAGAAGGAGGCGAAGATCCTCCACATTTGGTGCTCGTAAGTTCTCGCGGCCATAGATGCAGATTATGAGATTTCAAAATTTTCGCATGCACTGCAGTACAATGGTCTCACTCATATCAAATGTCTCATCTAGGGAGTCGGCTGAGCATCCATTTGAAAGCATTCGCAGGGAAGTAGTAAGCTTTTATTTCAGGGAGAATGACAAGTGACCTACATCAACTCGGCCTTGCTGGAAATAGGAGTCATGTTGAACAACGCCAGTCATGACTCAGTTGAACAAGGAGAGGGGCATCTGAAATCTCATTTTGAAAAGTCTAGCATCGTACGTTGAATTGGGAACGAAATATTGTTGCATCAAGCGTTGGTGTACTTCTATCCTGATATGCCTCACTGATTTACGTGAATGTGAACGATGCCGAGATGAGGATGCTTGCTCTTGGAACTTGAAGGCTCCTGCAATCACCATCATTTCTTGAAGATCACGGTGAAGCTGCCACTCATACTACCATTGCCGATCATTAGCTTCTTGTTGCCTCTCATAAGTTTCTGTATTAGGGGAAGTGGGAACTCATGATGCAAAAAGAGGTTTGAGTGTGCAGAGAGAAAAATGAAGAAGGTTGAATGGTGGGATGGACAAATTGATAAAGTTTAGCATTCATTTATCGACACACGAAAAGATTCTCCAGCAATAATATGACTAAATCTCGATAAACAATTGATGGAACCACTCAATATAATTAAAGTTGCATCAACAGTTGATGATGCATATCATTCTGATTAAAGTTGGATGAACAGTTGATTTTACCACTCAATATGATTAAACCTAGTAAAAAAATTGACGGCACCACTCATTTTGTGTAATAAGTGATGAGTCATGGTCTTTTGCAAATTATTGTGATTTCGTCATATTTAATTAGGGATGATAAAAAAAATGTTTAAATTAAAAAATATATATGAAAATATTTTTCTTGATTAATTATTATCACCTATGTAAAATTAATGACCAAATTATCAACATAAAGTGACGATGCTAAATTAATTTTGTCAAAAAAAAAACACTTATCAATTATAGTTTTGTCCTTTCCACCCATTATGGCCAAACCCCTCCTCAAATCCTCTTTTCCATTTCACTGTCTGTGGATGGTCTTAGCAGGGAAGGGTTCTTCATCAAGACTACAAACTTTTTCAAGTTTTTGTCCTGTGCCTGCAAAATTTTGCAGCTAGGCGAGATATTTTCGGTAATTTGTAGGAGCTGTGTGTAGAGTCAACTGAGAACTAACCGATTAGGGTCAGTCCTTTGGTTCTGTTAGAATGGTAAGTAAGAATCATGGGTAGGTAGTGTGTATTGGAGGATGTGTACACAAGCGGTTAGTTGTAAATAGGGTGAGCATTGGGTGGTTGAATAAAAAAAGTTATTAGTAATCGACTCACTCATTATTACATGGGTGGTTCCTATGAGTAGGTGCGGGTGATCTGTGGTGTACCCACCACTACCCACCCAACATTTTAACCTCAAACCATCGAAGCTCTCACATATAGCTTTACCGAAAATAAAATCCTTACAATCACAAAAAATCCTCTCTATTTTGATAAACTGATTGTGTTGTGAGGTGTGCTTAGAAAATTGGAGGTACGTATAAGCATAACTAGTAGACAAAATGGCAGGAAAAAGATATGTGGCTTCCCCAAAATTACACAATCCCAAACTACCATCGATTCATCCTTCATGGCTTCCATCAATTTGGAATTGTAATTTACGATTATAGGTGAAAAAGCTATTTACGCTCACAACGCCTAGGCGAATGAGGCGCTAGGCAAGACCAAAATATTTGCTTTATGATTAGTGCCTTCTTAAACTTTGGTTATCATCAGGCTCTTAGATTATGTTTATCAGTTTAATATTTTATAATTTGTGGATAGTTACCAATACCAATATTGTAAAATAAATTATTCACCTAATTTGTTGATTAAGGGTTATTGACTTTGAAAAATTCTTTCATTATAAGTTTAAAATTTAAAACTATTAAAATTATTTGATCATATGGAATATATGTTGTAAACCCACCAATTTCACCCAACCTCCCATCATCCCAATCACCCAACCCAACCCTCCCTCGTGTAATGCTTGGGTGGGTGTGAGTCATTTTCTCCTTCACCTCTCACGTAGTGGGTGGCTCCAAACCCACCAAAATCTGCATAAAACCACTCATGTTCACCCTAGTTGTAAAGGCATAATCCTTTTTCACGAAGGATATATTTATCTACCCAAAGTGAGACTTTTCTCGGTCCCAGTGGTGGAGCCAGAAATCTGAAAAGGGGGCTAAAAATTTTACGCCCAAAGAATTTGAACTAGCGAGGGGAGGCTAAAGTCTTATCAACTACTACATTTTCTCAATTTATTACAGAATTTACATTTAATTTTACGTAATTTTGAGCGTTGAGTGCGTCTATAATTTCCCCTGCCAATAACGTGGCTCCGCCTGGTCCTAAACCAGAATGTCACGGTAGACGTTCTCACAATGCATAATCCATCCGACTAATCCTCAAAGACAAATTAGTTCTCAAATGAACATTAAACCGAGAGGTGTGATAGGTTAATAACGACTCAATATAAACATGATAACTAAACTGATTAAACTTCAATATTATCGAGTTAAGTCAAATTATCACATATAAGCTAAGCGATTGATGTAATCAGCCATTAACAACAAAAGTTAGGATTCAAAGCTTATTAAACACAATCTCAACATTTCTTTTGAAAACAAGTAAACAACACAATCTCAACATTCCTTGTCAGAATAGGAATTTTTGCAACTTTCTCCGGAGGAGAGAGAATAAACAATTGAAAAAAGTACAGGAAAGTCCAAGGGCAAATCCGTAAATAGGCAGTCTTGTTTTCCCTTTTTTTTTTGTTTGGGCTAGGATTGGTGAGACAGCCTAGTTATTCTGCTAACTGCATAAGTTGTTAGTATATACTAACTAATATCCAAAATGTATGAACATGTATCCAAGTTTGCTGAGTATCTAGATAGCACAGACTAGTATTCAAAACATCACAAACTAGTATCCAGATAGCAGATACCAACTAATATCCACAATCAACCAACTAGTATTCAATATTGATACTCTTATGTGTTATTTGGATACTTTTATGTGTTATGTGGATACTAATTATGTCTTGTATGGATACTATCCTGTGTTGTCTAGATATTTGTTTGTGAATTTGAGATAATAGTTGATTCGTGGTGGATATCAGTTAACAAACTTTGAATACTAGTATGTGATCTCTAGATACTTTAGTACTTGGATACTAGTTCATGTATTTTGGATATCAGTTAGTATCTGCTAACGAATTTTCAAGTTAGCAGATTAACTTTTCCCTTGGTGAGAAAGGCACAGTTACACTATAAAGCACTGAATCGCTTCGTCTCTCTCCACAAACTCCACGGCGCAGATCCGAGGAGTTTGGAATTCAGAAAACCCTAATTTTGTCATCAGAAGTATACTGTTTCGCTTTCGTCCGGCCACTTCTCTCACTCTCTCGCCAAATCACGTTTAGTTCTCTTCTCAATCATCAACACTCCTCTTGTAGGTAAGAACAGTTTGGCGCGCTTCCTTATTCTGCTTCAATGACGCTGCGCTTTTTTGCTCTCTGTGTTTCTTGTGCTGCACTCTCTCGGTTCTGATCGTTGTATGGAGTTCTGGGTTGACTTGTTGATGGTGAGATCGCTGAGAAAGATCGGATTTTCATTGTCCGAATGCTTCCTGCTTTTGTGGGTGTTGAATTTTCCGAAGCAAAATAGGATTGTGGATGGTGGCTTACGGTTGTGATCTCCTGAGCTTGATTGGGATTTAGATACGGTGTTCTCTCCGATCTGTGGTTGATCTGTTCATGTAACGTTCTGATTCTTGAACTGGTAGTGAGATGATGATTTTAATCTAATCACAGGACTTCCTCGTTAGCTGGCTTGATGTGGCCTTCGATAACTGTTCTGAACTATAACTGTCTGAGGCTTGGTGGCTGGATATTTGGAGAAGATGTAATGATGTACCGTGGCATGAGGTGGTTGGTTCGTGTCTGAATAGCGTTCTGAATGATCATGACTTTTATGTGTGGTGGTAGGTGTTTCGTTGGTTTGATAATCTAGGGAAGCGGGTAAAGCAGTCTCTGGTGTTGCACCTTGCCTTTTCTTCTGTATCAGATGGCTGTTCCCCCCTATGCTCAGCTTCTCCAGATATAGACTCGGAAGTTTACTGCTTCTAATCCTCATGTTACTTGTCTTACAAGTTTGGCCTTCTGTGACACTTGGAATTTCTACTCTTCCTGCTCTAGGGTGTTTCACAATAAAGTATGTGTTGGAGGTTCTGCAGTAGTTTGGAACCTGGAATTGCTCATTTTGTACTGGTCCCTGCTTCGGTTATACTTGTTATTTGCTATGACCCCTGCTGTTGTCATTTCACTTGGGTATGCGAGTAACAAAAGTAGTTTGGTATTTTGCAGTTATGGCAGGTGAGGCACCAGAAGGCTCGCAGTTTGATGCTCGTCAATTTGACAAGAAGATGACCGATCTGTAAGTTCTGTGTATAATTTTCAGCCTGTAGATTGAGGATAATAACGTGGTCCCTAGTCTTGCTTGTGATGTCAGCCTGATGGCATAATATCCGTTCTAAAAAATCTTTCAGGCTCTCTAGTGATGCTCAAGATTTCTTCACTCCCTATGACGAAGTCTATGAAAGTTTTGATGCAATGGGATTGCAAGAAAACTTGCTTAGGGGTATCTATGCTTATGGTAAGTTGTGCACTCCTGTGGAAATAGAAGCCGAGTGGATTCCCAAATAATGTTATTTGATGAGTCTGATTTTCAATTCCCAATCTTATAATTCAGGTTTCGAGAAGCCATCTGCAATCCAACAGAGGGGTATTGTCCCTTTCTGCAGGGGACTTGACGTCATTCAGCAGGCTCAGTCAGGAACTGGGAAAACAGCAACTTTTTGCTCTGGAATTCTGCAGCAGCTCGATTATAATATAATTCAGTGTCAAGCTCTCGTCCTGGCTCCCACTAGGGAACTTGCTCAACAGATCGAGAAGGTCATGAGAGCACTTGGAGATTATCTTGGGGTGAAGGTCCATGCTTGTGTAGGTGGGACCAGTGTTCGTGAGGACCAACGCATTCTCCAAGCTGGTGTTCATGTTGTTGTTGGTACTCCTGGTCGTGTATTTGACATGTTGAGGAGGCAGTCCCTTCGTCCAGATTATATCAAGATGTTTGTTCTTGATGAAGCTGATGAAATGCTTTCACGTGGTTTCAAGGATCAGGTTCAGTTTCTGAAATATCTGTAGCCTTCTATGATTTCTTTTGATTAGAGGTGGCAAATATCAAGCTAACCTGCCAAGCCAACCTATTTGCCGAGTCTGTTTTTCTCTTTATCTATTCAGCTTCTCAACTGACTTTGTTTTATTTGCTGGTTTCCAGATCTATGATATCTTCCAGTTGCTTCCTGCCAATGTCCAGATAGGCGTCTTCTCCGCCACCATGCCTCCCGAGGCTCTTGAGATCACCAGGAAGTTCATGAACAAGCCAGTCAGGATCTTAGTCAAACGTGATGAGCTGACTTTGGAAGGTATCAAGCAGTTCTATGTCAATGTCGAGAAGGAAGACTGGAAGCTCGAAACCCTCTGTGATCTCTATGAAACCCTAGCAATCACCCAAAGCGTCATTTTCGTTAATACAAGACGAAAGGTTGACTGGCTAACTGATAAGATGAGAGCCCGCGACCACACCGTCTCAGCGACTCACGGTGACATGGACCAGAACACCCGTGACATCATCATGAGGGAGTTCCGGTCGGGATCTTCACGTGTCCTGATCACCACTGATCTCCTGGCTCGTGGTATTGACGTACAACAAGTGTCTCTCGTCATTAACTATGATCTGCCGACTCAACCAGAGAACTACCTCCATCGTATTGGAAGAGGTGGAAGGTTTGGGAGGAAGGGTGTTGCCATTAACTTTGTGACGAAGGACGATGAGAGGATGCTGTTTGACATCCAGAAGTTCTACAATGTTATGATCGAGGAGCTGCCTTCCAATGTTGCTGATCTCCTGTGAAGCGAGTAAGAGTGGAGATTTTTTGGTGGTGCGTTGAGAAGGAAGAGAAGAGGTTTCTTGCCTTTTCTGTTGTTTCTGCAAGCACTGTTTTTAACTTGTTGCTGTCTTCTCTTCTTTTGAGTCTGTTTTACTTTTTTTTAATTTCTAGTCTTAATATTAAATGTTCTCAAGGAGATCTTACTGTTTGAATCAGATGATGATGATGATGATGGGTCAAGTGCACTAGCTGAAAAGGGTTTTGTTTAGTGTTTTTTGGGGGGTCATACATATATAATATACTTTTGTGAGGTATTTTTGCAGTGTTGCTCCTTAGCTTCTGCTTTCTGGTGGAATCTAGTCCTTTATCATGGTTTGGGTAAATGTAATGAAGGCACTCTATTAGTTAATGCAGCAAGCTTAGAGTACTTAGATTCAATACTCATTCACCCTTATCGTAATCAATGATCTGAATATTTGATCTTAGTTACTGTTTTATCGTGGACACCACTCCAACTGGATATTAGATTATGACTTGAATATTACGGTCTCGAGCAAAATATGATTTGAACACCCTTTCAGCTCTGTTACATATGGAGCTATCTGAAATCTAATGGCAAAACCAAAATGCAGTATCCTGAAGGAGGAAGTCACATATGGAGCTATCTGAAATCTAATGACAAAACCAAAATGCAGTATCTTGAAGGAGGAAGTCAAGTGTTCTGAAATGCTGGCAAAAATGAAAAAAAAAAAAACGAAAAAACACGCCCAGTGGGACTCGAACCCACAATCGCTTGATTAGAAGTCAAGCGCCTTATCCATTAGGCCATGGGCGCTTATTATCAATAAATGAGACCACGTTTTTAAATACTAATTCTCTATTCCACAACCAAATCATTCCATCCACCTCTCGTAGATTCATTCTCATTGGTCCATTCGTTGTGACTTGTATATAGTAAAGCACCTTATCCATCAAATCATGGACGCTTATTGATGAGGAATAGGATCAATTACTTACATATTTAGTATCTTGTTCCACGAGCAAATTATTTGATCCACCTTTCACAATTTTATTCTTTGATCTGATCATTCCATTGCAATTTGTATCTAAAAATTTAGCTTCTCATATCCGTCAGAAATATTCTTGTATCTATCAACTTTCTTCTTTTCAAATTTCTCCATTTATTTTTCGAACCAAAACCTAGTAAGGCCAATTCTTGGCCTCATGGGACTAAAACAATCTATCAAATGACCTGTTCTTTATTATTATTATCAATTCAAATCTTTGAACAGTCAAGTCTGAGTATGATCCCAAGTGGCACATGCCCCATTGCCCATTTCTTTAACCATAAATTTCCAGCTCTTATTTGTTTTGTTTTGTTTTTTTGTTTCCTTAATCATCCAAATCTTCCAACAAACAAGTAGTGCATATGAATCAATCTCACTCATCATCTCACAAACTCCATGATACTAAAGTACATTACCAAAGTTTTAATAAACCTCCATACACAAACCCCCAAGCATTCAAAAAACTAACTATTATCTTTTTCTATTTATTCAAAAGGGTCTCTCTCTAATCTCTATAGTCAATATATCATATACCACTTTCCCCTCCATCCCACATTACAAGTTTCTCTCTTTTCCCCCTTTCTCCTCCTCCTCCTTCCTTCAATGGAGAATTTCAGATCCATGTCCTGCAGAGATGGGAGGATCTCAACCGACTTCGCCTACGAAAACCAGCCGGCGCCACCAGGGCCAAGAAACATGCAAGGGCTGAGGTCTTACAGTGTAAGCCATGGAGCAAGACAACAACCCAATGAAGAAGTGAAGGCCAAGAAGCAAGAACATGTTGAAGTTGTTGGTTCAAGAAGCTGGGGGAAGATGAATTTTGATCCGGAGCTCCAGAGGAAGAAGAGGGTTGTTAGCTACAAAGCTTATGCAATGGAAGGCAAGATGAAAGGGTCATTGAAGAAGAGTTTCAGATGGATTAAAGATGCCTGCAATCAAGTTGTTCATGGATGGAAGTGAGAGTCATTTCATCTTCAAATCTGGATTTGAAGCGCAGCCCTTTCTGCCAAATCAGTCGGAATGAAGGAAATTACTTTGGATTTGAATAATCGAAATACATTCTTGATATAATTTATGTACACCTTCTTACTAGAGGAAAGATACCAGTAATGGAATACTCTTTTAAGTCTTTTACATGGTTTCTTGTATTGTTGAGTTTTGTTTCTTCACTGTGCTTCAACAAGAATGCAGAATGTCCTTACTTTATTCCCTACTTTCCTTCTTCGTTTATTAAACTAATATGGTTGAGAGATCAATGATTAGGGTTTGTGGAAAAGTTTCGATCTTTCATTAACAGATTAGAATCAACGGTTTCCTCTGGAACATGGAGAAGATTTTTTGCGGTTGTCGGCCATGCTTGAAAGGCCAGCTAAGAATATTCATTCGACGCCCTTTTCATCTCTTTTCCATAACTGTCCTGGTCCCAAAACCAGAGCATGACAACTAGAATGATGAATAATTATGGGTTAAGGAGCTTTTTTGCATGTCAATCCATGCCTGAATTATGATCCATCTGTCGAGCTACATTGATGGAAGTAGGTACTTGGCCACTAAACTTTCACGTCACAATGAACTTTGCACAGTGCAGTCAAACAGCAAATTAGCTTCAACTCCCAAAGATCAATGACCACTAGGTATTTGGATGAAACGGCAGTGGACGAAGCGGAAGCCAGAATGTCGGCTTGAGTAACACAAACATTCGTGAGAACCAATGCCCCAAAAACCTAAGGGTTCCTCCGCAAGGTTTGTCCACGGAGGGTGAGTCAGGGCAACTTTAAGATAAACAGCAATTAAAACCAAACTTGCTTCTCATTAAGATGTGAAGTAAGAAAGCACTTCAGCCACATTCTGAATCATAAAAAAAAGTCAGATTCACTGGTCTCCTTGAGAAAAGGAAGGTTGAGATCACCTGAGCAGTAGAGTACAGTTCAAACTTAAGAGGATGTACATCGGCAGCAGCAATAATAGTCTTGGCTCTTTCTTTTGGTCGCATTTTATGGATCTGAAAACTATAAAAGGTACTCTAGAAAAGATTAACTGCTATACAAGAATTCATGAGCTCCATCAGATGGTCCATCATTGATCCCTAGATTCCACTCGAAGAGTAAAAACCGATCGACGGAATTAGATACCATAATCTGTTTGCACAAGGTTAGCAGCAACCAAGCGACAATATAACGACCGCGGCCAAGGGAGTTCGACCATTCCATGTCCAATTCACCAGGAGTATAAAGATCTCAGCTTTACAGCGAAGGGCAAAGCATTTTCTCGGGATTGAGATCGGCTTTTTTCTCTTGGCCTAGTGAAGCAGTCTCTCATCGTTATTGAACCGGAGGCTCTCGATGCCTCTAAGAGTGGATTCCAAGTTCTTACTGTTCGAGTTGCTGTTTCTTGCTGTGGAAGGTACAGCTTGTGTAGAGTCATGAGTGCTTGATATTGCAGGTCTTCTAGTAGAGGAGCTAGTTCGCATATGGTTAGAGCCAGATAACTGCATAAATCCCATGTTAGAGTGGAATGAATCAACAGTATTGGAGGGTTGAGTGCTGAACTTTTTGCATCTGTCATTCATACCGGAGCATCTTTGGCATCATTGACGAGAGGGCTCTTTAGCTTGGATAAAGTTGCAGAGCTTAGAATCGGTCCGGAAGTTCTCCTTCGAGGATCGCTTGAAGACCAGCCAGGTTTACTTTCTTCTCCACCCCCACCTACTCGAATAAAATAAAAAAGAGAGAAGCATTCCTTATAAGCACAAGAGATGAGAAGGCTAACAATTGCAGAAAAGCTTGAGGTGGAAGATAACTAAAAAACCTTGTTGTCTATCAGCATTTGCACCAGTAGGTGGCATTCCAGCACTAGGTCCAGCAGTGGGGCCCTGAAGATAAGATAAATGATCATCAGTCAGTGAAATTACCTGGAAACACCTAAGTGAAGAAAATGGCCTAGTGACTTACAACTGCGCGAGTAGGAGGATTAGCAATCTGTGACTGTTGATATTTCAATATAGTCCAGTCAAAAACATAGTCAAACTGGAACCCTGGATTGGAATAAGTAAGTCCATGATTCTTGTTAAAAGATTCCGCACGGCTAACAAGAATGAATAAGTCAAATGAGCATAGTATATCACGAATCAAACCTTCACGAATGAAAAGATCACGGAATAGTCTTTTCAGGTATGCATAATCTGGCTTGTCGTCAAAGCGCAATGACCGGCAATAATGAAAATAGGATGCAAATTCGGTAGGGTAACCTCGACATAGAGCCTACAAAATGCAACCGAGATTCAAATCCGTTAGAAAGGAAATGATCATAAGTGGAAATAAATTCGGACTTCGAACCCGACCGAAGCTTACCTCAATAGAAGTTGACACCTTTTTTTCACTGATCTTCTCGTACTTCTGCTTTTTAGTTCCAGCTCTTAGTCCCTGCCAAGGAAGACTAAACCAACATACGGTCATAACACACACAAAATTTACATGTAGCATACAGATAACTGAAATTGGATAGAGAGTTGAGGTGTCACCTTCCTCTGAGAAAATACATAAGAACATATCCAAGCGATTCCAGATCATCCCTGCGGCTTTGTTCTACAAAGCACATAAATAGCATAACATGGAAAAAGTATTAACTCACCAACTAGATATTATTAGTTGTATGTTTCAAGTGCAATCACTTAAACCAAATAGGTTATATGTGTAACCATACCAATCCCAAGATGAGTATTCATGCTAGCATATCTTGCAGTTCCTGTCAAATTCTTGTTCTCCCTGCAATGTATTTAAGGTAGAGTTACACAAATAGAGGAAGCTGAAACAAGAAACAGGGTCACAAAGAGAGAGACCGCCATTTGTGACGGCTAGAAAACAGCTAGGAAGAGAGTAACAAGTTTCACTGCATATGGAATAGTTAACTCATGCTTCGAAATGACTGACCTGTAAGGAATGTGTTGATGAGTCGAGGTGTCACGATATTTTTTAGCTAGCCCAAAATCAATAATGTAGACCTGAGCAGAACCAGTATTAAAGATATGAATTAACACAAGTACACAACCAATAAGAAACAATCATATCCATGCCTAATAGGGACAGGTCTCCAAGGACATACCTGATTGGCACGCCTCCCTAAACCCATGAGAAAGTTGTCAGGTTTGAGATCCCGATGTAGGAACGATTTGGAGTGGACAAATTCAACTCGATTAATCTGCGAGAAAGCAGAACTTCCATTTGTCAATAAAATATATATGAGCGACCAACCAAAGAAGATACCAACAGCATATCGCACACGATGCTTACCATTTGGTCTGCGAGCATGAGAACAGTCTTGAGAGACAGTTTCCTACTGCAAAAGTTGAATAGATCTTCAAGACTGGGTCCCAGCAAATCCATCACAAGAACATTGTACTCTCCTTCCACTCCAAACCATTTGACATTTGGAATTCCAGCTGCAAAATTTGAAAGCAGCTAACATATGAGTCTCTTCCCATATATAAACTGCAATCCTCAACATGATGACATAGATAGATACCAAAATAGTAAAGAGAAGTCATTACTTACTTCCTCCTTGAAGTATTTTGTACAACTTTGATTCATACAGCAGCTGAGGATGCTTTGTCTTCACATTTTCCTGGATCATAAAGAGAAACATACCGGAAATTTATCAATGTAAGGAGATAGTACATCTATGAAGAAACTCCAAACGAAATCAGACTGAAATCAAGTCCTCCCCATTCCGACACCATCAGCTTCAACCATACAAGGATCAATCACACTTCAGCATTCGCTACACAACTCTACACAGATACCCAAATTGGATTGAATTCGAACCCAGTACATGAAGCCATAAAGAAATGTCTTGTAGACACCGCATTTAAGTAGAACCGACCAAATTACTCGAAAAGGAAACGCATTTTAAACAACCACATCCGAAAGACAGAATCACCATTTTGGAATGCCAGAGAATGCACACTCTCAGTTCCCTCGAATTCCATTCTAATGAAGGACGTAATTTATTGAAAAGCAGAGACCGAATCTCAGATAAAATTGCATTGAAAATGCAAAACACAGACAAGAAACGAAATTCGAATTGGGTGTTCATAAAGAATGAAATAGAGAGAACTTACGAGCTTAATTCCAACCTCCTCGTTTGTTTGAACATTAGTACCTGCAAAGGACCGTCAATAAGACAAATTTCTAAAGGAAAATTGAAGAAAGAAAATGCAAATGAAAGGGATGGAGAAGAAGCAACGAACCGAGATAGATCTCTCCAAACGATCCGCTGCCGATCTTCCGACCGAGACGAAACCTGTTACCAACGCGAGGCTCCATGATGATTTCCCACCCCCAGCAACCCTAAAGCAAGCTCTGAGCTTTTTTCCGCTCGCGCGAAAGAAGAAACCGACGGAATCTCTCGCGGAAAAAAGGGATCAAAAAATCAAACGAAATCCTGACCCAGTAAAGCCAATCGGAAATCCTTCCCGTTCATTTTTCTTGGAGGCAACAACCGGGGAGCGACACGACGAGTAACGGTGCCGATCGAGAGGACCGACGGCGGAGCGTGAGGAAGAGAGATGAAGAGAGAAAGGGATATTTGGTGGAATTAAACTACGAACTTTCCTCTCAGTACAAGCGATAATTTAAGAGAGAGAGAGAGAGAGAGAAGAGGGCATTGTTGTCTTGGCCTCCGCTTTTCTTCCTTCAATATCTTTTTCTTATTATTATTTTTTATGAACGTCCTTGCTGTTGCGTGTTTTTTTTACATAATAAGTAAATAATTTTCTAAATAGGAAATTCTCGAAAATTAATTACAAGTTCTTATTTTAAGTTTGTGGTTTGCCACATTTGAGATTTGCTTTTATGATTAGAGCGGTTAATGAGCCGAGCTGAACCGAGGTTTGCCTTGTTCAGATTTGGTTCATTTATTAACGAGCCGAACTTTTGAGATTTGCTTATATGATTAGAGCGGTTAATGAGTCGAGCTGAACCGAGGTTTGCCTTGTTCAGATTTGGTTCATTTATTAACGAGCCGAACTCGAGTTCGACTAGTTTATGAATGTGTTGAGTTGAGTCGAGCCGAATATAAGCCAACTCATTTATTGAATCTTGTCTCATCATTAAAATCAAAATTTCGGCTCGAATTCAACTTTGAGATATTTTGTGGATTAAATACCCTAATATATATGTCATATATGATACATGTGATTAAATGATCATCATGTCATATACAAGACATATTTGCTCACATTTTTAAATTATTAAACATCACATGAGGTGTGATATACAATTTAATAAATATTTGCATCATTAACAAACCAACTCATAAGATATAGATCGATTTTCTCATTATCCATAATCAAATTGGCTCGTTAGTTATAATGTTGAGACATCCCATGAACTCAAAATGAGATAGTTCATGACTCGAACTCAACAAGCCACCTAATCGAGCTAGTTCGTGAGCCTCACGAGCCGAACAAGGATGAGTTCAAGTTCAGCTCGTTAATAAACGAATCGAGCTTTTATTGAACCAAACGAGCTTTTATCGAGTTCGAGACCGAGTCGTTCGCGAATAGCTTGGTTCATTAACAACCCTAGATATGATTAACTGATTAAATGAGATAAGGAGGTTGGAGAATACAAATAAACATACGAACACGATAGTGCTTAAGCGGAGAAATGGGCTAACAATAGTTCATATAGTATCATAGAGCATTAATATAATATGGATCGTCTTATAAGTACAAAACTTGGAGAATCGATACAATAGGAGCACACATATGGATTACGGTGGCAACAATTCGAATATGTAGGTATCCTATTCGACTCATTCTAGACAAAGAGGGTAAAACCCGTATTGACAGATTGTGGACCGATTTCGAGTTCAAACATGTTTTACTATTTTGCGAGTTGGGTTCAGGTTTAGCCATACTCGACCCATGAATACCTGTACCCACACCCAAGCTCCCTCAACACTTAACCCTAAATTCCTTAAACTTGGTGTGTTTATCTTTGTATTGAACAATTAGCAAGGATAATTTGTGAGTTCGTCTGTATGTACTAGACAATTGTAGTGGAAAATTGGTGTTTTTGCATTTTTGTCCATGAACCCATGAAAATCTATGATTCGCACCTACCAAATGGATTGGGTTGAGGTTTCAGATTCCATAAGCTATTTCTTCGGATTTTTGTTGTGGATAAACCCGCTGAATTGAGTTTGGATTTGATAGAACCACCCATTAGCATATCTACCGGACTACTATGTCAGTTTCATAAATATTCATTATAGTGATTATCTTGTCGACATAAAATGTGTCATTGAGTTAGTGGAATGATTTAACAGTAATTGTTTGTTATTTTGACATAGTGGAGAATAAGGTAGTTGAATGACATTTTCTAGCTCTTTCATCAGTTTCCTTATCAAATGCTTGTCTTTTCTCAAATAAAAAAATTGGGATGTTATACCAATCTCATGTTTCTCATAAACTTAGATCAAGAAACTAGATTATGCTTTAAGTTTATACACTCCGTGACTTGAGCTCATTCTTGTTTTTTGCATAATCAAGAAAACAAACCCTGGCGGATATCAAACAGGGAATCCTTATTCGAATAGGATTAGGCTGGACCCTTTTTCCCATGAAATTTGTTCATAGAATTTGGGGTTCTTTCTATTATTTGAGTTATTAGTTATTACTAGGGCTTGGAGTTTGACTTTATGCCACCAAAGCAATGAGATTCCCCTAATAAAATAAAATCTCTACTATACATATATATTCTAAATGATAAATCTACACTTGCATAAGTGAACTATAGAAAGAGTATCCAATATGATTAAGGACAACCGTTTTGTTAGGGTACATGATTAGGACAACTAATGAAACCATATAAACAAGTCCAATCTTTGTTCTCTCAACCTAATATGGTATCCAGTCTTCAAATGGTAGTTAGGAGGTTGGCCTCATAATTCCTAAGGGTGTGTTTGTCTCATTTTCTGCTAAACAAAGAAGTAATTTATTTCTAAGCATTAATAAAAAGTGAAACAAAAGTACATTTTGTGATGTTTTCATAAAGACAAGATTGATAAGTTATACGAAACATTTATTGGTAATGTACACGTTGATATATTTGAGTTTAGTTCAATTATTTACGATACTTTTAAAATGATTAACGTTATACTTAGTTTCATTTGCTGTGCTTCAAATTTTTTTTAGTCTCAACTCAACAAATTTATCTCTCAAACAATTTACCCAAATTCAAACAAAATAATCTAGTAAAGCCAAAAATATGAACGGTAATTGTTTTATTAACAATAATTATGCAAAAAATGGAATAAAAATGTGATAACTAATTTACTAACTACTACTAAAAAAAAAAGCTAATAGTCACATTTCTCTTAGTAAAAGGACAACTAGTTTCTTGATTATAATAACTAATAAGTGAGGAAAGCTATCTCATTTTTCTTCTCCCTACATTGTTTTCTTCACCACGTTCTTTAATTTCTATAAGCACAATCAATTCTATCAACAAAGTTTTGGATAAATTTCAAGAAAAAGAATTCTTAGAAGGGATAAGGATTACCCAAGGAATAAGGGAACTTCCACTAAACATTCCAAGAACAATAATTCTTTGTCAAATTGCTTCAATTATTTATATAAAAAAAAACTCCATACACTTTAAGTTGTTTTGTCAAATTTTGTCATATTGATTTTTTATAATTCCGTCCACTTTGAATTCATGTCAAGAATTTGAATGCATTTGCACAAATTGAGAAATCATCTAACATATCACACTAGTACACATTAAACCTTTTTTCTCCATAGATAGCATAATAGTAACATTGGTCACTGGCTTACTGTGCCACTAAGAGTGAATAAACTATATTGCTTTCTTTTGATAATTGGAGGCTAGTGAGATGAAGCCATTTGTGTGACCTAACATGATAATGATACAGTAGAATAGTAAAAATAAACATGCTCAACTCTGACTTGCATTGGATTAAGCTATGAGATGAAAAGATACACATGTTGGCAACCAGAAAGAAGAACTGCAAGAACAAGAACAAGGTTGCTACTGCTACTGCTGTAAAAAAGTTAGATATTAACTATTTACTTCACATTCACAAGCTGTTAACTTGGTTCACTCTGTCTCTTCAGTAATCAGAGAACTTTACATACACATAATCTGAACCAGTTTTTCTCTTCACATTTTCCTCTTTTCTTTTTCCCCGCCCTACTTCCTTTCAATGAGCTCTAAACAAAAAGAAGAATTAGTAAGGCAAATTGACTCTCAGCAAGGAAGGGGAGGCCTCATGAAGAAGGAACCAGGAAAATTTTGCTAATGGCCAAAGAATAATCCCTAAGTAGAAAAAGTAAAAAAATGTAACCAACCCAGAAAAAAGAATTAGAGTGAAAAGAATGTAACCCCAAAGATCCATCCGCCGCAAACCCTTAATCAAGATTGTGAAGGCCTATGACTGTGCACTGCTAAAGTGTTCTTCTTCTGCAGCCTACCTTTCAAAAGCCTGATCTTTGCATCAACCCTAGCCGAGAACCCGATCTTGGTTTCTTGTCTAGCCTTTGACCTTTCCCTCCTCCACATATGTTGATCCTCAACGTCCTTTTTGTAGTACTTGATCTCTTGAATAATGTGATGATCCATGGGATTGAAGCACCTTTGGAACGAAATGTGAGCCAAGTAAGGAAGGTTGCACGTGATGGTCACCAATAAGATCGCGCACCAATAGAGTGGCGCTGGACCGAGAGCTTCCACGAGGATTTGGTATGCATTTCCCGAGTAGGCTGGAGACACCATCCCGTATACAAATAGGAACAGGAACCACGTGGCAATGCTTCCCCATACTAAGACGTGCTGGATCCAGGTGAAGTGACTCATGGTGAGGGCGATCTGGCAGTTCACAGCACAAATGATGCAGGAGAACATTGTGGTACCCACTGCTGCCATGTCAGCAGTCTGTCCACTAGCTCGGAAAGCTTGGTTAGAGAGGATGAGGATGTTGAGGAAGTAGATGGCGAGGGAGGAGTATAGACCATTCCCCATCCAGCCAAGTATCCTGTACCAGTCGAAGAACAGGTTCTTCGGGCCTTGTTGGTATAATGCAGGGAACTGCACAATACACAAGAGTTAATCATGCGTTGCAAGGATCAACAAAATGATATTCTGAAAATTGGTGACCAAATTATACTGCGAAGGACTGGATGGGAAAGAAGCACGTACCTGTAAGCAGACTTCTGAAGGAACATCTTGTTCAAAGACTCCAAGTGAGATGACTGGCAATGAGGTGAGAAGGACATTGAACAGAAGCATGTACCAGTCGTCGTAGATTGATTGCCCGGAGAAGGCGGTGAATGCCTCGAAGTAGAAGAGAGTAAGACCAAAAGCAATGTTCTTGTAGAAGAAATAGCAGATCTGATAGCAGGACAACCACCAATCAAAATTCAACAAAAGAAAAAACAGAACTTGTGGCGCAAGAAAGAAGGAACCATGACTTGATTTATTCACCATTTGAGCTATTCTCTTGTAGCACCAGTGTCCATGGACTACTAGAAGTCTTTCCAAGAACCGGAATTGTGAAATTGAGAAATCACTCGCCATCACAGCCTGTAAAAGTTAAATTCACAGATTCAGCAAGCCACCTTCAATTTCATAAGCAAGATCATACAAGACACGATCTTTTCCATTGGGATTCAAAGTTAACCATTTATGTTACTAAAACCACTCAAATACCCATCAAGTTGCATTTGAGAATGCTGCATAATAATGCCATTTCAAAAGCATGAATGAAAGGCACACTCTATATTGGAACTCAGAATCATTTGCTATGATGCATTACTTACTTGCATGCCTTCAACCCCACTGATACCGACACCAATGTCAGCTTCTTGAATCATTCCAACATCGTTTGCTCCATCACCAATTGCCAAGGTTGTTCTTCCCGTGCCTTCTTTTACTAACCGTGTGACCTGGAATAATAAGAATGGCCGCATAAGAAAATGAATAGAGCACGAATAACTTCAACAAGAATAGAGCAGGAGAGGGATAGAATTACCATACCAATGCCTTCTGCTTTGGTGAAACACGACAGCATATCACTGATGCACAGTCAACAGCTAAAGCCAAGAACACGTGCTTCATATCATCCTCCAAAGCATAAGTTAACGTCTTTCCATCGATAATTAAAGCAAATGCAGCATGCGGATCTTTCTCGAGCTTGATCATTTGAGAGGCATTGGTTAGTTGGTTCAGTATATTATCCTTCACCGCCTAGTGAGAGACAAAAACGAACGTATTGTCTTAAATCAAAGTCAATCAACACTTTAACACACAGAAGTCTCGCACCTCTTTTGTTCAGTCATGAAATACCTGCTTCGAGTCTTGGGCTAAGTTATCTGAATTCATCGATGATATAACAATCTGCTTCATCCCTTGTCGAAGCAAACTACAAGCAAATCTGCAGAAGGCAAAGCCTGAGTTATAACTATTGCCAGTCAAAACAAGATACATAATATATATTCTAGTTAAAAATACATACCCAATGTTGATTGCAGTTTCCATCTTATCTCCTGTCAAAACCCAAATCTTTAGACCAGCCTGTGCGAGCTTATCTATGCATTGTGGCACCTATAAAGAGGGAGAATAATAGAATTAAAAGTAAGTGCGAGGAAACAGAGAAGGTAACCACTTATGTATCAGTAAATTAGATGGGCGAGAGTGTTGTACCCCTTTTTGCAACTTATCCTCGACAGCTGTTGCACCAACGAGAATGAAATCTTTTTCCATCATGTCTGCTACTCGCTCGAGCAAAACTTCTCTGTCAGCACCAATTGAAGTCTTGGCTTTGACGAATTCATTGTTCCATGCATTGTACTCCGCCTCATCGAGCTTTTTGTAAGCAAGTACGAGTGTACGTAATCCAGCTTCTCCATAATCATTCAGATGTTTCGTGGTGGATTCCTCGAATGTTCGTCCATTCTTTGATAGCCGATCAAAAACTATGCTGTAATGATCAATGATTCATTAATTTAGCAAAAGATGATTCCTTATAGTACCTAAATGAAAGGGCTCCATAGAGTTCTGACCTGTCAGCACCTTTGCAGAGGACTAGGATTTGCCCATCCTCATCCTGCACAATTACTGACATCCTTTTCCTCTTGCTCGTGAATTCCAACAGATTCAGAAGTTTATACTCTCTAAAGTAATTCGAAACAGGCACTAAAAAAATATTAGGAACTGACATTATCACGCAAGCCAAATGCTCAAATGAAAAAAAAAAGAATCCTTACCTTTCAACAACTTGTCCTGGACGCATTCTCTCACTGACAAAAACACTAGATTGAGTTCTTTTAAAGAACTCAAACCCAAATTCTCTTGCTGCAACGAGAAATGCTCCTTCATCAGGCGACTCAGCTTCATACGTATAAGTTCCAGTCTCTTCATTCAGTTCAGGAACAGCAGTATGACAAATCGCCAATATCCGGAAGAACAACAAAAGGACATCAGGATTGGGCTCATTCGACCAGTTCCCATTCATAAGTCGGCTATCCTCAAAGCTGAACCCTTTTATAGCTGGTTTGTGGTCCTTCTCATCCCTAGCAGTAATGACGGTCTCTAGTTCAATCTCTGGATCTCCAGACCTTTCCCAAGAGGTTCTAGTACCAGTATTGCTCTTGGAACCAATAGAAAGTTCTCCATCCTGATCCTCAAGGTCCATAGCCATCTGTTTTGCTGCAGCAAGCTCCACCTCACTGGATTTCACGCCATACGGATTACCAGCAATGGAACACTTTAGAAAGTCCATTTGATTGCATGTCAACGTACCCGTTTTATCTGATAGGATCGTGTCGACTTGGCCCAACTCTTCATTCAAATTCGATGTCCTTGCTCGAGCAGTATTACCAGTTTCTTCATCATACATATGTATGTCTTGGTCAATAAACATTGCTTGACAAACTTTCACAACCTCAATGGAAACATAAAGAGAGATGGGGATTAAATAACCGTAAAGGATGAGAGCTGTGATCAAATGAGCCAGGCCAGATTTCGAAGGACTATTCGGATTGTACAAATCTTCAGGTTTCCATGGCTGCATATACCACCAATCTGGCATTAGGAACTTTATCTTGACTGCAAAGCCGATTGAGCTTATCAATGAAATCAAGATAAGGAAGCTGAAGAGTATATATATGATTTTGTCCATTTTCCTCTCTACTGTACTCCTTTTGGAAGGGGATTTAGTCGAATTCTGCATGACTTTGCTATCGAAGCCAGTGAACACAACAACTCCATAGATAAACGCCGTGTTCCTAAGCTTCGAATCTCTGAGGAGTATTTGACCAGGATCGAGAGGATAAACCTGACGATCATACTCAAAATTACCAACAAACGTGTAGAGGTTTGGATTTGGATCTTCACATTTTATCATCCCTGAAAAGTTCTTGAAAGTGTCATCATCATCTAGAGGCAATGTCACCTCAAGAGCTCGTTTGATCTTCAAGTTAGTCTCCCCATCGAGGTTCATAGTCTCAACATAACAAATACCATCCTCGTAACTCGTGGACAATAGAAGTAAATCAGCAGGGAAGAACTGATCCTTCTCTACCTTGATTATATCACCAACTTGAATCTTTTCCCAAGCCTTGTAGCCGAACTCACCCTCCCCTTGATGAACGTAAGTCTTTCGCGTATTAACCTTCATATCCTGCATAAACCTCCCCCAGTCTTCCAATGCTTCCTTCGCCATACTAATACCAACAACAAAAGCCAAAGGAAAGATCATGCTCACTGCTGAGAATGGAGCTACTGGGGTTAGCGAAAGGATGGCTGCCAAGAGAAAGTAGATGTTGGCAACCCGTCGAAACTGTTCAAACAATGCCTTGGGAATAAATGTAATGACATTGTACTTGGTCGTGGAGATGTAGTTTGAACAGTACTTCAAGGGCTTTTTCCTATGCTTTATGGGTTCATTGCAATATACAATTCTAGAGAAACCGGGGCCTTCCAATGAATGTGGCTCTTGCCCTTCTTTTGTGCTTGGCCTTAGACATGAAAATGGGTGAAGATGGCTGCGTCGAATCTTAGACCTTATCCTACCCCGCCCCATCTCTCTCCCAATTCAATCCAAGAGGATATATTCTATCTGGCTGCTCTATAAATTTCACCACCAATCGTTAGTAACACTTTGCTTCCAAGCATATAATTTTTCCCAACTGTCCCTTCTGCAAAATTTGTCCTCTGGTAATGGCTGATCAAACAATAATCAAACCAAAGGGGAACAATATCAATGAATGGCATGAAATGGGCGAGTAGCCCAAAGAAGATGCATTCTATAAAATTTCCAGGAGCATAACAGTTACACATACATAGGATTGAAAACGAAAAAAGGATCAAATTCCAAATTCAATTGAAAACATTCCATAAAAAAAGACTTCCCACGATATAGAACCATCAAACAAAAAAGGGAAACCGACAAAGAACCAGGGGGAAATCCAACGTGGAAAACCAAAAATATCTTCTCTGCCTTCATATGCATGAGACAGGCAACCAAGAATCGAATTCATATGCATGAAATCCTTCAAAAAAAAAAAGACATTCTCAGCTGGCTACCTCCCTAGACGCGAAAACCCAATTCCAACGTTGACCTTAAATTCCTCCAAGAACAAATCTTCTCTGCATCCATTCCTAGCTCAGGAATGGAGGCATGGGCGGAAAAAATAGAGCAACCCAGAATATAAATAAAAAGGAACGAAATTTCAACAGAAATTTGAAGTGGGTAACCTGCAAAATGCGGATTCCTCTCAGTCCTCGCCGAACCCAGAAACTAGCAACCCGCCATTGCAGCTTAAGAAAGAAAAAGGAGGGGGAAGAGAGGACTTCACGGATCAAGATTTGGACGGGGAGAAAAAGGGAATGAAGAATAAAGCAGACCGAAAGTCCTCCCCGGCAAGAAGAAGAAGAAGAAGAGGAGAGCTTCTTGGGATTGGATAAACAGGAGAGAGATGGGAGAGGGAGGACAGAAGAAGAAAATTCAAACGAGAATGAAGGATTTTTCTTCTTTTGAGAGGGAGAGAAAGAAAAGAAAATTAAAGGAGAAAGAGAAAGAGAAAGAAAAGAAAGAACAGAGCACAGGGGAAGGTTTTAGTCTCTTTCTCCTTTTCTCTCTATTCCCTTTTCTTTCCTTCTCTCTCTACAACCTTTACGAGCGATCGATGTTCAGAAAACAATGCCAGGAATTTCCGGTATACCTTCTCTCTCTGCAACAATATATATATATATATATTGTTGCATATTTTTGCCTTTTTCTCGACATTTTATTTTGTGTTTGGACAATGTGAAAAAAATAATTCAGAAAAGAATAATATTATTTTTCCACATACCTGATAGTACAACACCATTTGTCGGCATGGACTGCAAATTTCAGGTCGTTTTCATCAATGATTTGTAATGTGAAATGGAAATGTCCAAAAAATTGCAAGGAATGAAAGTGATCGAAAAACAATCTGCAGTTGCCTTGTTTACTAGTTGGTGCAACCATGCAAGGTTAATAAACCTTACGAGGACACTTCGTTCACTAGTTGATTCGAGGATATGAAAATCTTATTAATTAAGAGTTAAGACATCTTTTATGGTTCCAAATTTACATAATCATGTAGGGATACATCTATGATGTAATGGAAATCCAAGATAAAAAAAGAGATCGACTTGGGATATGAATAACTAATTACTGACCTATGAGTAACTAAGTTTGAACTTTTAGATTTAATTGGGCCCAGAAAATCCAGATCTAAGAGTTGTGAATTAGAAATATTTTATTTTCCTTAGTTTTCTTAATCGGCTTTTATCTTGTTCGTTCTATAACTCGAATTTCAAATTTTTTTGCACAGATGGAACAAGTTCGTTGTGCTCTACAAAATGAGATCAATTTTCAAAATATTTCGAGAAACTTTTTTTCATACCTTCCGTTACCAACTACATACCATATGGTAACTTCTTCGTTTTTAAGTCGTTTCTGAAAACGTTTGCTGAGAAGGAACGAGTTCACCATGATCAATTGGATCTACAAATTTATGGGTGAAAAAAATAAGGATTATAAATTACCATACTTTACCACTATGGTATGTGGGTGGTAACTTGTAGTAAATGTAACACCTTAGGCGAATCCCACATCGACAAAGCATGGGAGAGACCCATGGTTCATAAGTAAGAAACCGACCTTAACTGACAAGACGCGTTTTGGGGTGAAATGGAGGAGTTCTTGTGAGAACTCTGAAGTTAAACGTACTCAGTGTGGAGTACAACAAGGATGGGTGACCTTATGGGAAGTCACCTTGAATTGCACCCCAAGTCAAAAAACCGTGAGGGTCGAGGCCCAAAGCGGACAATATCTTCTTCGGGAAAAGGTTCGGGATGTTACAAGTGGTATCGGAGCCTCTCTGCGTCCCTCTTGAACGATGGTGGGGCAAACCTCAACGAGGGAGTTGAGTCACAAGGGGGTGTATGTAACACCTTAGGTCAATCCCACATCGACAAAGGACGGGAGAGATCCATGGTTCATAAGTAAGAAACCGAGATTAACTGACAAGACGCGTTTTAGGGTGAAATGGAGGAGTTCTTATGAAAACTCTGAAGTTAAACGTGCTCAGGATGGAGTACAACAAGGATGGGTGACCTTATGGGAAGTCACCTTGAATTGCACCCCAAGTCGAAAACCATGAGGGTCGAGGCCCAAAGAGGACAATATCTTCGTCGGGAAAAGGTTCAGGATGTTACAGTAAACAATGATGAAAGTCGTAAATGACAGTTAATATACTCCTACTATCATGTATTCAATCTTCCTACCATATTGGTATGTTCATACCATCATGGTACGCTTTGTTACCATATGGTATTAAATAGGAGCATACCATATGGTATTGACTGGTAAAAAATGACTCAATTTTTTTTGTTCTAAAAATATATCAAAGTGGATATCATTTTATAGAGCAGAATTAATCTGATTTATTTGTGTAAAAAAATTAATTTTCAACTTAAAACGAGAGAAAATCGTCCGTTAAAGATTAAAGGGGAAAAGATAAAATGCTTTTCATGAGAGAGATGCTGATTAGACGGGTTACTTAGGAAACTAACTTCAAGAATAAAGTGAAGTCATCATGGAGCCACCACATGTTAGTGTTACAAAATATAACAAGTAGTTTAACATAAAAGGTATATCATTGAAATAACATCATTGCATTCTTAATTTTAACAAATCACATATATTATCATTAAGGCATTTTTATATCTTTCAAATGATATTTTTTGCTTGTCATATATAATTATATTAGAATTAATATCTAACTATAATACTACTTATGATTTCTACTTACAAATTTCTTGTTTATATAACACCGGTTCGTGACCGAATTTTTAACGATTTAATACCGATTAGATCAATAAAGTGCGAACCGTTTGTTGCACTGGTTCGATTCTGATAACATTGCAAAAAAGTGTTAAACCCAAATTAAAATTGTGAGAAAGAACTCTGAAAAATTGCATAATAACACTCACAAGAACATCTTAGACCAAACTAGCATTGGGCCCGGCCCATTGGCCGGTAAAGTATAGAACCTCAACATGTATTGGGTTGCAATCTATGTACAATGAATTTCAACGAATATAACATTATGCAATAAACCGGAAGTCCCAGTTCACGTATGATTTTGACTTCTTATGAATGTGTTATCTCATTGTGAAACCAATTAATACCCATTAAAAGTAGAAGCATCAGTTTTACATTTTCAGGTACTCCGATATTTTGGCACTCGAAGCACCAACATTCAAGTCTGTCATTATGTCCCGGTGCCAGCCAAAAGTGTTTTTCATCCTTTGGTAACTTTGTACAACATTCGCTCAATTGCATAGTGGAAGGAAGCTATCAGCCTAGAGAGAGAGAAAAAAGTAATCACACTCATAAGTCATAAGATACAAAGAGGTACAAAAGAGAGTGCTTAAGTTCCCCGAAAGTTTCTTAGCCACACCCATCCTAAGCAAAATACTATATAATATAATAGTAACCCCAAGTAAGCACTACATTGATGCCTGTTAAGCCTTTATAGACTTATTTATGATAATACTCATTACCCAGCTCAAACATTGAAAGTGATCTAAGTGCTTGCATTTGGTTATGCCTAAAGAGAAGCCACCCTGACCCACAACAAATAATGTAATGATTACACTTTGATTTACCAAGGCTAATGAAATATGAGTATAAATTTTCTGGAATTATTCTGCATTAGGGTGGTTATAATGGGAAGAATGTAAGAGTTCTTGGGAGACTACTGATGAGGTTTCACTGAAGGAGACTACTGATGAGTAATGATTATCATCAAGTAAATGATCTTCCACCCACCAAACAATAGAAGGGGTTCAAATGATAATAGTATCTTACAGTTTGTGATTGATATAGTAGTATTCTCAGATCATGAAGCCACAACATACAATCTTCAATTAGCATTGGAGTGATTAGCCAATAAATCAAGTCCAAGGTTTACAACCTAATGCAACACTCTATTGAGTTGGCATTTGATCCTATTCACGTATATTAAACAACAACAATCATTGATTGGATCAATCAAATTACATCTCATTGTTTGGCAAAAACAGATTGCAGCATGATAATATCAAAATATTCAAGTTGTTGCTGCAAAAAACAGACGAATGCAGTGTAAACTCATAAGGTCCATGCTAGAATCAAGGGTTATAGGTATAATATGCCCATCTACTATGACGTTTTATCAAACATGCCCCTCTACTATTTTTTACATCAAATATGCCCCTGTACTTTGAAAAAATTATCAAACATGCCCTTCTGTTAAAATTTTCATTGAAAAAATCGTCAATCATGGTTGAACCGATATTTAGACGACCCGACATCGTCAAATGGGAGGAAAAATGTCAGTTTTGTCCCCTGTTTTATTTCTTTGGGTCTTTTCAAAGTGAAATTATTTGAATGATTTGATTATACAAAAGAACCAAAAAAATTCTATAGTGAAATTTTCAGGGATATTTTAGTCATTTGTGTCTCCCAAACTAAAGTTCGGCCTTGGTTAACGGTTTTTGGATGAAAATTTTAATAAAATAGCATGTTTGATCATTTTTACAAAGTACAGGGGCATGTTTGATGTAAAAAATAGTAAAGGGGCATGTTTGATAAAACGTCACAGTAGAGGGGCATATTATACCTATAACCCTAGAATCAACTTGAAATTATGATTTGTCTATGAAAAATGATAAATAAAACTTTTTACAATCTAAAAGTTCAAAATTTTGTAAGAACTAAACCATTCACGAACATTCCATAGTCTGGAAAACACATTACTTAAAATTAGGTTCACAACATAGCCCCAACTGTAGAAAGTTGCAGCAATACTACCTGTCTTTCGCAGGCTCCCAGTCAACCCCATGTTTTCTTTTGTGTCTGGTTAAGATTGTCCCTCTAAGACCATCAATGTTAGGAGTAGAGCACTGATGTCTCACTCAAATTCTGCACTCAAAGTAGAGCTATCAGAAAGTGAAGTGAAGCGAATTAGACAGGTATCTGTGGGATCATAGTGGTTGGCCTATTGGCCGGATTATCGAGAATTTGAAGACAATGTATCTACAATTAGCTTGCTATTTATTTGAATGGATTGGATTATCGAGAATTCCAGCACAATGGATTGGAAGATTAAATCACGTAAAAATTGTTTTGTTGCAAGTAGAATTAAAAATGTATAAATAAAATTAAACTGGAAGTTCAAGACATATTATCAAACATGTACTAAATAATTCCAAAGAATAAAGCAATCCATACAAACATATATACATGCATCCTTCATTAGAGTTTTGCAAGCTCAAGAGACTTTCAAGTTAAAGATATTTTATTTCATAAGATGAAATCTAAAAAGAAGTTAAAATTATCATACAATAAACGCCCAACAAAAATGGGAGATTACTTTATTATAGATATTTGGAATGGGAGATTTGCTTTGAAAGAATGTCAACTCAGAAGCAAAAGTTGCTTCTGTATACTTGTCCTTCCCCACCATTGATCCAAGGTAAACACATGATTCCATGCAGCTACTGCAACAAACTTCTCTTACACCTATAAGAACTCTTTCATTTAGATATATCTTATTCATAAAGCTCATCACGATATTGGATAACTTAATTAGTCATCTCACTTCCCCAATGAGATGAGTTGTGAGGAAGCCCATGGGACTGACCAACCCC